CTAAAGGGATGGTAGGGGACATTCATTTGATGCGCATTTTTACAATACATAAAATGTGAACAAGTTCAAGTTAAAAGCAGAGAGAAAATTTTGACAAAAGGTTGGTCAAATTTATCACTCAATTTAGTTCGAATTTTGATGGTTATCAGACACAAATTCTAGTAATTTAATCAAAACTTGTGTATTAGAATTGAGGTTATTTTATTATAGTTAGACTACATTTCAACAAACTTCTTGACTGGCACGAACAGGTACTGATAAGTTTTGAACGAAAAAAAAAAAGAATGAGCAAAACTTTTATCTTGTTGAAGATAAAACCATGTTATGCACCAAAATGTCTATTATTAATGTGGTAATATATCTTATATGTAAATGGTGCTTCAAATAACTTTTTCGCTTGAACCTATGTATGTTGATTTTTTTGTATTATACAATGATAAATTATCAGTCGTATTCATCTTCATCATGATATCTTCATTTTCATATGCAATTTGGAATCTAAAGTTTGCTATCAGTGATTGATTTGCTTAATTTGCCTAATTGAGTGATAAATTCTTCATAGTTTGCCTAGTACAGTGATAAATTCTTTATGTTGATTCTCTATATTATACAATGATAATTATCAGTCATATTCATCTTCATCATGATATATTCATACTCATTTGCAATTTGCAATCTAAATTTTGTTATATAATGATATATTTCCTTAATTTTCCTAATTGAGTGATAAGTTCTTCATAGTTTGCCTGGTTCAGTGATAAATAAGATTAATCTTCAGTGCATAACCTTTGTTTACTTAACTTAATTGATTGAAAAATATTCATGGTGCCTCATTGGTAGTAGGAAATTATTTATTTACCCGTTTTTGTTTATGTTGTGAAGTCAAGTTCATTATTGGTGAATTGAATAGGGTTAAGGTTTCGTGGTTTCAAAGCAATTTAGTAAATTTTAATGCAAATTCATTTTGAAATTTGTTTACTTTTTGGAGCATAAAGGATATTAGTTTTGGTTATGTTAAGACCCTAAGGGCATGGTAGGGGACACACATTTGATGTGCATTTCTAATATACATAAAATGAGAACAAGTCGAATCTCGGGATGAGATTATTTTGAGGTGTGTATATTATAGTGACTCTAATTTTTTGTAAGTCATTATTTATTATTATTATTTTACTTTATTTTTGGCTTTATTAATTGTGTGGATACGTGAGAATTTAATGTGATATTTAGTTAATTTAATGTGATATTTAATTATATATAATTAATTTGAATATTTATATATTTAATCTTATATTTATATTTATATATGGTGTATTTATGTTATATTTGTATTATATAATATGTCAATTAGGTTATAAGCCTTAGAGGCTCACTAAAAAAAAGAGAGAGAGCAACAGCAGCCACATGAATTAGAAGAGAAAAAAAAAAAGAAAGCCGAGAGAAGAGAGACTCGTTGAACAAGAAAAAGAAACTTGAGAGTCCAAGCCCAGGGAGAGACTTATTGAAATAAAGGGTTAGGGTATTATTTTAGGAGTTTTATTAATTCTTCAAGTAACTCGTTGATCTTTGAAAAATAATTATGAGTGCAAAACCTACTTTCCTTGATTTATGTTTATATTATTGTTATTATTTATTTATTTTTATTTATTTGATGTTGGTTTGATATTGTATTTGTATAAAGATGATAGATTGATTTCAATTATTTTGATTACTTGTGTATACAAGGTTTAGGATTTTTATATTTATTTATTATATGCTTGTAATCACACTCATGGATGTATGAAATTAAAATAAACTTGGAACACATAAATAAATTTCGAATATTCCATCATGACTCCATGGATTGTTGTTTATTTTAGTGTTGGTGAGAGAAAAGTGTATAAAAAAAAGTGAGGATTATGAGATTTATTTGAATGCCTTAGACTCGACATTGTTATGTTTATTCTGATGAGTAGATGGGAGGTGTGTATATATATTGTTTCCTTGTTGTCAAGAGTAGACGAGTACTTTCATTTACGCGCGTACTATATGTTAACCGTCCGGAGAGTGTGAGTCAAACTCGGGACAAAATCCACGTGCAAGTTTGGCTTCAGAGCGATGTTAGGTATACGGGAGGCACATGGGATACATGTGTAGGCCGTAAGTAAAGGGCCGAAGTGGTAGAATTAAGGTACAAAGAGTTAAATATGAACTTATTTGTAAAGTTTGAATTGTATTGATTTATACATCTTGAAAAAAATAAATGACCTTGGTAAATTACAAAATTTGGGCAGAGGCATATATACATAATTCTAGACAACTTTTGTATTTTAACTTTGTACTAAAAAGATCAATTAGAACTTGTAATCGAATTATTTTCGTTACAATAGTTTTTATTCATTTTAGCAATGCAGATTTTAGATGTTATTTTAACCCACGAAACGAGCTTATTTTTATCGATTTCGCGTAAATGGAAGTAAAACATTATTCTGAACATTTTTTGTGTTTTAAACCTTTTCGGAAAAAAACATCTTAGGGCAGTTTCTTTTCGTTTTCAGTTCCAGATTTTTCAATCGAATTTTGTCTAGGTTCCTCTATTACGTTTTCCTCTCAACCTGTTCAGTTTCTACTAAATTCGTCCATATTGCCTATTAGGAAATTTGATTTTGTACAACTTTTGTTCTTAGAGTTTTGGTCAATTCGAATGATTTAATCATGAAACAGTTTGTTTTCATACTTCTTTAGCAATTTACGTATGATTAAATTATACTAACTTTATCATGTAAGGCTAACCCACCATATGTTTATGTTTATTTTGTTTATTGTATGCTCAATTTATATTTAGTTGTGTCCGGGTAAGAAACTAAATGACACCGTATCTTGAGAAACTACCCATTCGTCTCAGTGCAGGTGAAACTACTTGTCTTGTCTTGTAACAAGAATTAAATGTGCTTTTGTTTGTGTCTGGTGGACACGTGGGTGTAAAATCTTGTACTCATATCAGTATATTTGTATACTGACCCGTTTTGTATCTTGGCATCTCAGGTACATTCTGTTTGAGCGTAGCCGAGCTCCTTTGCAGGATTAGTTAGGACTACGGTGGTGACGAGAAATGACTATAGTTATTGGACATGTCTCTTGGACTTCTTTTGTTTTCTTGAGCTTAGGGTTGATATTAGTTTATGTATTTATTATTTTTTTTATGACCTTAGTATTTTGATAATTTGGCAAGGTGGGTTATTTTGTAACTTTACATTATTTAAATTGTTTTGACTATTTATTATTACTTTAATGTTGGAGGTATTGGATAGTTATGAAATTATGATAGATGGTTTAGTTGGCATTTTGTTAGTTTTTTTTATTCCTTGTAATCTTTTGAGCATAGAAATTTACTTAAACTATAACAACCCTATCGCTTAATACTTAATGTTAATGACGGAGATTTGAATTTTAATTGCCTACTATTCTGATTTAATATGGGAATTATGAAAATTATGGAGACTGATTCGTATAGGTTGTTATTGAAGATTTATTTGGAATTAGGAATTGAAAGCCTGATTAACTCAAGAAAGGATAAGTAGCGAGTCAAATTATCACCATTAATGATGGAAATAAGCTAATTTGATATTTAGAGCCTTTGAGAGTTTAATTAAAATCTGATTCGGACTGATAAATTTGAATATAATTAATTGGACTCTAATGGAAGTTAAATTAGGTTAATTAAATTATGTGGGGCTTGTAATTAGTCATGATTAAGCTAATTATGTTGTTAATGTGGAATTGCATGTGTAAGGATGCGAATTATAAGGATTTAAAATTATATCTGTCGATTGTAGAAAAATCTGTTGAAATTACAACCTTTGGACGAAAAATTGGAAGCTTTAAAGGCGCGATAAACTGAAATTGAATTTATAATTGTGGTTAGTATGATTTTTAGGATATGATATGAAGTTTTGTAAAAATTTGATTCGTAATAAATTAATTGGCTTTATTTGGATAAAACTCTTAGAGTTAACACTTTGAATTTGAAATTGATGACTTTAATAGGTTCAGAAATAGAAATTGTGTACATAGATATGCTAATGAGAATTTTTAGAGCCATTTGGGAAGTTTAATTAAAAATTTATTCCATCTGATTCGTTAAGGTGTGTTTGGGCCACCTTTAAGTGTGTGTGTGTGTGTGTGTAATAAGTGATATAAGCCATTTGAGCTCATCTTTATCTTGTTTTAAAACACAAAAATCTGAGAAAAGAGGAGGAGAGAGTTCTAGAACGAGAAAAGAGAGAAGGAGAGCTCAAGGAGAAGAATGAAGAGGGAAACTTGAAGAGAACATTGAAGCTAAGGCATAAGTTGGCTTTTTCTCAAGGCTATGGAGGAGGGGCAGGGTTAGGTGAGGATTTCTCAAGTATGAAAAGGATGTAAAGGCAACCTTGCACTAGATTGCAATGTTTAGATTCATTGGTTTAGTGAATTTACTAGTTAAATTATTGATTATAGATTTTATATATTCAGTAACTGTTAAATTATGTTGTTTTTGTAATTGATGATGGGATCATTGGCTTCACTTTATTAAATCTTTAAAACTTTATTTCTTTGTGGCATTGAAAAATATATGAGAAAGAATAACAAGTGAGAGAGAAGAAATAGAAGAAGAGAAGGAAAAAACTGCAGAATTTTGGATGTTAATTTGAAATTTACTCCAGAATTTATTTGAAGTTTTTTCCTTCTTTACTAAAAGTTTATATCCTAATGATGGTTCTCCACCAAACAAAAGAATTAAATTCAAACCCGAATGTCATTAAAAAGTTCTAGCTATACTTTAAAAGGAGCAAGCTCAAGATGTTATGGTGATTTTGTACATTTTGTGAATTCAAATCAAGTAACAATACGTAAATGATGTTACCATTTACATTACAAAAGTTAACAATACAACTCGAAAGTGGCAAACGACATCTTTGAGGCATAACAACTCCCAAGTACCTCAAAATGTCAGTCAGAAACGTTGTGCTCGTAATGTTTAGGTTGACGAATTTGATGGTGATGAACCCGTTGTCAATGATATTGATGGCAATGAAGAGCAAACGAACATTCCTACCGTTGAACACCACACGGACATTCCTGATGTTGACCATCCCATGGACATGCTTAGTTCAAGTGAAGTGGTTGCTACACCTTTTCTCAGGGGCCTAGTTGGTCCTTCCATTCCGACAAATTTTAGTTGTCATGTAGCAGCCAAAATTTGGAATAATGAGGTATAACTTACAAACTATTGTCTTGTTTTAATCATTTAAATAATTTTTTTTTTTTTTTTGAAATACATGACACTGTTGTGATATGCAATGATGCAGGAATGAGATTTGTTGAGATCCTTGAACCCTAGGTATAAGGTTGCTAATTGGTCTTTAACATCGGAATGAGTTGAGAACTCTAAATTTGTGGACATTATTAAACATTCAGGACTGTATTCTTTATCCAGTTGCTCATACAAATTTGTGAACAAGGTAGTTGTATCTACTTTTGTTGAAAGATGGCAACCTGAGACTAATAGTTTCCACATGCCATTTGGTGAGATGTTCGCGTCATTAGATGATGTAAGTACCATATTAGGAATTCCTATGACTGGTACATCTGTTTCAACTAATAACTTGTCACGAGATGAAGCTGTAAAGGTGTTGGTTAAGTTATTGGGAGTGTCAAAAGATGATGCAGTTGTTGAGTTGAAGGAAGCGCAAGGCCAATTAGTGCCATTAGAATGGTTGCATGAAAATTTTCAATCAGTTTCAAATGCGGATTCGAATGATTTCATTCATTATGCAGCGAGGGCATATTTATTATTATTGTTAGGTTGTACCTTGTTCGTTGACAAGACTACAATTCGTGTTTCTGTGGTGTATCTCAAGTTGCTCGAGGATTTGAATTTAGTTCATTCGTATGCTTGGGGTGCAGCTGCGTTGGCTTTTTTGTATAAGCAATTGGGTATGGCAACAAAGTCTACTGTCAGACAAATTGCAGGATACATGACACTGTTGGAGGCTTGGATCTACGAACATTTTATATGTGTTAGAACCTATCCAAATTTAAATTATACAGAAAACTAGCCTCGAGCTTATCGTTGGATTCCTCGTACACAATCTGGTTCATCGATTACTGTGTTAAAGTTATTGCAAGAGGAGCTTGATAGATTGGAGGCTCATGAGGTAAAAAGTAAAATGTAATTCCTTTGTGTGATTAATCTTTTATACAAAAACTTACTTATTTGGTGTATTCTTTGTAGGTTATTTGGGATCCATATATTAGTAAACGTGACAACCATCCATTTGCTGAAGTTGCTTACTATACTGGATTGCTAAAATGCATAGATATTGTTGAACCCTATCATCCAGATAGGTTTTTGAGACAGTTTGGAAGGATGCAAACTATTCTCCCACCTCCACTTTCTCCTGTTTCATGAGGATCTACGGTTGGTAAGTATTGTCTTTCGTACAAATATGTGGATCAGATTACAAAAATGTGGAAAAATCATGTGTTGTCTGAAATGGAGCGAAGTGAGCCAGTTTTACATCCATGGGATTCACGCCTAATTACATGGATTGGTATTGTCACATTTCCCATGTCACTATTCAAAATCCGGCACATCGATCTACATACGACCCTTGTTCTGAGGCATCAATAGCTCACAGCGACTCACAATGCATTGCAAAAGCCTTAACTATAGCACGTCCAATAATGCAGTTGGATTACATTGAAGTCATTAGTGCTCTGGAGTCTCTATACAATGCATTCAAACTAGTTTGGGCCTGTATTCCTGAACTTGGAAAAATGAAAACTTCTGGGAGTGTCAAGAATTTTAACCATTGAAACTGTTAACAAATTTCCATGTTTAGACCTGCATTCCTGAACAAATAAGTAATGTTAGGGCCTGTATTACCGAACTTGGAAAAATGAAAACTTCTAAAAGCGTCAACAATTTTAACCATTCAAAGTGTTAACAAATTCCATAAATAAATACTTTTGATTGACAAACATAAATTTAATACTTTTGACTAACAAAGATAAGTAGCACCAACCAGTTTCATAAAGAAATAAAACTAAAATTTTTCAGATAATAAAAAAACATGTTATAAACATGCACATCTACTTTGCTAGAACTTCATATGTCTACATCTAATTCTATTGTCTCAGTGGTAGCTACACTCGATCCTATGAGCGAAGTGAAATGGTGCACTCCGGCCCTATAAGTTGTCTCCTATCCTGCTGCAGCAGGTAAATGGTAATGTCGCCAATTCGTTGCTATAGGTGGCATTGGGTGACCATGCACCAAGAAGACCTGTAAATATGAAATAATTGTGAAATATGATTGTTACTATTGTTGTGCTAATAACAAAAGCAAATTTGTTTCAAGAATGGGCCTCATAATGACTAATTGAACGAAATGGTTGTTGTTGACGAACTTGATACATATCTCCTTGCACGATGCAATCGGCATTGGTACTGTCCTAAAGAGGGAGCGAAGTGAGGTATTATTGAGAAGATAAGTGAAATAACACAACATTGTAAAAAGATGATATTAGAGGACCCATGTCAGGTATTGTCAACCAATGACTATATCCAGCATTTGATTCAAAATACGCTAAAGTAGTAGTTAACTCATCAACTCTTTCATGCCTCCCAAATAAACTCTTGTAGTGACCTATATGGGCATGTAATTCTTGTAGTAAATCTTTCTTCACTTGCAACATCCATCCTTCCCAAATCCTATCAATCCAGCAATGGTTCATAATCCACAATTACTATCAGCATCAACATTCTTCACAAGTCGAATATATGGCCTTAAACTTGTAGGAAATTCACATATAAAAGATAAACTGGTGTTTTTTGTTGATCGATGTGGGTATACCTATACACATACAATCCATTGTTAAACTTAGTTAATACATGTTGTTGTACAAGTATAAGACATAATTAATCGCTTTGCAAACTTACACCTTTGGTTGCTGCATTGATTTTAATTTCTTTGGACACGTATTTTTCTTCAAACCTACACTTGGTAAATAGCTGTACTGTGCAGATGAGACAAACTCAAAGGCAGAGGGCCCACGAGGAGTAGAAGTATCAATCTTCAAGGATGGTCGACCTCGTAAGTTAAGCTTCACTTCAGGTTCAGTCAAGAATGTACGCTCAGGTGTATGTATCTCCCTCAACTTCTTTAACATTTGAACCTTCATAGTTGGATCTACCTCTTTGTAATGTCGAGCAAACATATCCAACTCAGATTTGCAATCCAAAAATGAATTTGATTTTTTCGGAGTATTAAGCATGTCAAGCTTGGACCAATGTGGATCTACAGAAGTTAGAGGAATTGGTCGGTTTTCTCTTATATAATCTACTATTTCATGCGCACATGGTAATCCATGTATACGCCGAACAACACAACCACATGTAACAATGTCGATGCCAACAAAAGATGCTCGCTTGGACTCTGCCAATGTCATTTCCAATGCTGCAATTGACACATTCCCACGAAGATGTTTAAATTGAGCAGGCTTGAAATTATGTTGCACAATTGTCTTGCTCTTCTCAAACAATGATTTGATATTAGTGTGTTGCAACGCAAGTAAATTGTGTATCCTTGACCAATTTGACTAAAAACTCCCTTGCATGTGAACTCTCTACCCTATATATGTAAACCATTACAATGGTAAAACAAGAAAATATATAATTTTTTTAAATAATTGCATTTACCTGTTCGTTGTTGAATTTCCCAAGTGCATACATGTATCTATCCATGCAGCCACAAATCTCTCCTTATATGCATCCAACCAAGAAGATTCCACGTATTGAAGTGCCTCTGCATAAAAGTCGAACTCATGTTGTAGCAATGCGAGTCATTGCATGTATACTTCTTGAGAAGATGACATAACCAACATATTCCAACTTGTTATAAACATATCCCATTTCTCTTTCTTCTCAAACAATTTCTTGCATTTGGCCAACACATTTTTATTAATATGCCATCTACATAACAAACTTGTAGCTCGTGGAAATATCGTCGCAATAGCATTCATTAGACTCAATTCTCTATCTGTAACAATAACATTGGGAAGACTATTCTCATCCATCAAACTACGCAAAATACCAAGTGCCCATGCATAATTATCCTCCTTCTCATACTGGAGGTATGCAAAACCCACAGAGAAAGTCTTTTCAGTGGATGTTATGCCTACAATCTCTAAAAGTGGCCAACGATATCGATTGGTCTTATATGTACAATCCATTAGTAACACACATGGGAATGCACGTAGCAAATCCAAACTAACTGGATGTGCGAAGAACAAATCTGTAACAGTCTCAGTATCTTTATAGTTCCTACGCCATTCTATGTATTTGTTCACTGCTAACTAACCCAATAATAGCTGCATTTCAGATCTCCCAGCCTTCTCAAAAACTTTATGTCGTTGATGTGCATTGTAGATTGTCTTCATTATGGAAATATTTTCACTATTGTGTTGTTTAAGTGTAACTAATATCTCACTTGGTCATACCATACTCTTTGACATATCAACCAACAAAGAAGTTTCCTCATGTGATAACCTCCCGGCATAAGAATGACGTTCAAGACAAACCACAACAGGATGATTATGCACACCACATATCACGATCAATGTCCGATCATCATTTGTATCTAGTTTTTTAGCTTTTAACAGAAAAGGACAGTCACATTTTTTAGTACCAGTAAGCTTCAATTTTTTAATTTTTTTTCCCCTTAGGTCTAGTGTTTTTCCAAGTGTCCCTATAACGTCCACTCCTCTCACAAGCAAGAGTTAGTCTTGGTTTCTTACGATGAGTGCCACCCGCATCTAATTTCTTCACAACAATAACAAAACCACTTCTCCTCCCAACATCACGTGCCCATCGAATTAATTCATCTCGAGACTTGAATATCTAAAATTGTAAAAATAAAGTCATGATTTTGCTACCAGTATACACATAAAGAAATAAATTAATGCACATTAACAACATATATGGAAAAAGATGCATATGTAGTTTTCAATACGTTCATATATTACCTCGTCAGTCATAAATTCATTACAATAATCTATTATGAATTTTGAGCCAAATATATTTGACTCGCCATCATCTTGAAATAAATAACAATACAAATTAAATTTCAATTTATGATTAGTAAAGCAAGTCCGAACCTATGAATAATGTTCGGTTATTAGTTTCCAAACAAATAATAAATGTTCGGTTACCGGTTCTCAAACAAATAAACAATGTTCGGGCCTGTGTTTTCGAATTTTGATCATATGTTCGGGAGTTCAGTCTCGAAAAAATGACGAATATATTTTAATATTTCTGCCATTTTTTTCAAGAAACTTTCCCTTACAAGGTCAATCTCCTCTGAGCTAATAATCACATCAAAGTTATGAACCTCCTCCAAGCTTTTATTGTTGTACTCCTCTCGTTTTATGGAGTTGTAGTTACCAGAAAAATTTTCACTCATTGTCATTGCCGGAGAAGTGTAGGCAATCAAATGGTTGCCACCGTTACCGCTGGAATATTGTCGCCAAAGGGTTTTCAAGGTTTTGAGGGTAGGTAGGTTTTGAAGGTGGGATTTGGAGAAGATGGACCGGAAGTGATGGAGGTGGGTGCTCTTATAAATCCTAATTCATCATGCAGTGGGTGTGTAGGTTTAATTGTGAGTGGGTGTCCTAAAATTAATAATGTCCTTTGTAGTAATTTTATTTGAAGTTATTATTGTAATAAAAAAAAACAAAAAATTGGGGGGTCTAAAATAATTCATAGGGTGCTAATAGCAGCACTCATTATGAAACATATTTTTTCGTAATTACACAAACATTCTTGGTCAATTATGAAACTTAAATATTTTATTTTTTTAACAAATTACAAATACACCCTTAAGGTATATTTAAAATATGAATCGGTCCTATAATATTAGAAATTACAACTATCGTTTGTTATAAATTTTAATGTAACACAAAAAAAAAAAATATTTTCCTAGGCAATAATAAATTATCAAAATTGTTTATTGAAAAATATTTCTCATATCATTAAAAACTGTTAATTGACTTAATGATTTATTTGTTAATAAAATGATTAACTGAAAAATATTTTTCATATCATTAAAAATTATTAATTTACCTAATGATTTACATATTAATAAAATTGGTCATTTGTTATGCGAGTATGATTTATGTACTAATAAAATTAGTCATTTGTATATATATATTCTGCTACTTCTTTATTAATTCAGGAAATTATCTTAGTAGTTTTTTTTAGTTTCTAGAATTATCTTAATATTTGTTTTATATTTATCTGTTGTGAACAGTTACACACCATATTTTTTTTTTTATAAATTCGGAAGAAATGTTAAAGGCTCATAAATTCTCCTAAAATAATATGGTAATGGAATTGAAGTTTACATTGTTATGTGTATAACAAATCAAAAAATGATATATATCATGCCGCATAATTCTATCATATATGTAATGATTTATTCTATTCAATTTCATTGAACAATATTCTAATTTTAAAAAATTATTTAAATATAAAACTTAAATATACTATAATTATAGTTTGTGCCTTGTACAGACCTTTTTAACTAGTATATATATTTTATCCAATCTAAAGGTTAGAAATGATTTTTATAATATCCAAAAATTATTTATTCATTAAACTTTTTTTTGTTTGCCAAGTTTTTTTTTTTAATTTTAATTTTAATTTTTTTTTTTTGTATGCCAAGTTTTTATTTATTTGTTCAAGTGCCTTTTTAGCATAAGTAAAAAACAAAAAAAAAAAAAAATTGTAAAACACACGACATCATTTATTAAATTCAATGTATTTTTTTATTATTTAAATCAATTTACTTTTTAATATTTTAACATATTTTTAAAACACTTTTTACACACTTCTCAATGTTAAACAATACTTAAGGGACACTTGTTAACATTTGTTTTTTTTTTTTTTATTGACAAAAAAAGGAAGGGTTTGGTTGACACTTGTCATGGATGCATTATATCATATTAACTAATCACACTATCATAGAAAAGAGTAATTATACTTACACCACACATTTATCTCTTTACACTCTATTTCTTATTACACCAGTTTTCATCTCATTACATTCTCTATAATTCGCAATATATCCTCATCCCTTCTCTACCAATTTATCGTCTTTTTTACACCTATTCACATTTGAAACCCTAATTTCATCCCACCACCTCCCACTACCCTCTCCTCCACCTTTAGCCACCGCTACCACCACTCAGCCCCTGTCACGACCATCACTTACCACCCTTCACGAACCAACCTTGGTAGTCGCCATGAGACCTGGGTAAAGAGTGTCACTGATGATGCGATCTAAAGGGTACCAATTGTCAGAGTCGAACTAGTTCCAAAACTTGTACAAGCTCTTCTCGGTTAAGAACAAAGTGGTCTTGTGATTGCAGTAAGGATCGAACTCGTGGAATATGCTCTTATAGTGGAGGACGCAAAAAAGACGAGTGATGAAGGCGAGGATGTAGACGAGGCCGAAGATGGTGACTCAGATCAGGAAGCTTGCTGCTTTGTCTTTAACTTTAGGGATTTCAGAGCGAAGAAGAAGTTGTTATTGTTCGATGATGATGACGACAATGACAAATATACCTTCAACCCGCTTTGCAATTACGATTTCATGCTGCCATTCGCGGTCTCCACCTTCTTTTTCAGGGATGTTAGATTTCTAGGGGATTTTCCATAACAAATTTTCTTTCTTTCTTGAGAAAATTGAACAAAAAATAAAACCCCTATAATATGCCTGGTTGCTATATGAGTGTGTATATATATATATATGTGGGTGTTAATTTTTGACCACACAACCAAACAGGGAACTCAGCTGGAGAGCACCGACAAAATAGATTAAGCCTAACAACCTACACAAGAATATGAGAATTCGGTGGTGGTTCATCCACCCGGGGCCACTCCAACAATCAATATCTCTCAAAGATAGCAAATAATGCTTAAACTGACAAGAAAGAACTTCTCTCATACCTACAAGGGTGCCTTGCTTTTATAACCAACAGTGACCCATTTCCTTTAGAAACCTCACTCCAATGGACTCAAGCTCAATGCTTATTCTGGACTTTCAGCCTGATAGGAATGAACTCTCCTTGAGCCTTATCCTAATCCAGACTGAGATCCTTCACTGTTCTAGGACTCTTGTCCCTTATCTACTTTAAATCGGATTCCGATATCTCTGTAAATAACCTCAGCCTAGCCGAGATTATCTTGGCAATGCGACCAAGCCACGTGGTACCTCGGCTGACACTTCAGTGTCACCTTAGCCACATGCTGTTGTTCATAAAATATGTCCCCACAACTACCCCCTGGGTTCTATTACCTCAGCAACCTGAGGTGATGGAACCTACATCGTTTGTCTATATAGCATGCTGACTAACAATCTATTCGTCTCTTCGATCGAGATCATGATTTTTCGGCTTCATATAACCAGAACAATCAGCTATCCACTTTCTCAAGGATCAATAACCAAGAATCCAGTTCTTTAAGCATCTCAACCGAGATCTCTCCTCTAGCCAAGGTTATTACTTAATTAATCAAGAAGTTCAAGAGCTCTAACTGTGCATGAGGTGTCACGCACAGTCTTTCCAACTGTTTCATACACGTGTCCTTTCTTTGTTGGTTCATACTTGACACGTGCTATCAGGGCGCGTCATTCCTACCTACACCACCTGACAAGCACGTTGTCCAAGGCAACTCATTATGTTTTGTCGCCTTTTCATATTTTTGACAAAACTTCTTCTTCTCTCTCTGTCTCTTCACTTCACATTCTTGCATTCTCTTTCTTTGCTCAAACTCTCTCTTTTTACACACCCAAATCCTCCATTGTTGTGTTCTTGAGCTCCCTGCAATTGGTGCAATCATCTCTTCCGACGAGTTTTCCGTCGTTAGCTTCCGCCGACTGTCTCCAGCAAGCCTTATTCCGGCGTCTATTGTATCGGCTTCACTCGGTGAGTCCTCAACTTCTTTTTAATTTTTGGCCATGTTCTTCAATATAACTTCCTTTAAAATTTTGCCATATGTTTTCATTGTATCCGTCGCCATTGAATCTGTATTCATAGCTGTATTCTATTTTTCTTCATTATAAACAAATTCTTGCTCTTGAATTGGTTCTATGCTGTTTAATTTGCCCATGTGTCTACACACACTGTTCATGGTTCTTGTACACACCTACGCATTGTTCATACATTCGTAATTCTCTATGTTCTTACATCTCTGTTGCTTTCTTGATTCTAAATCATGCTCTTTTCTCTGCTTCTCTTGCTTTGTTTCCAGATTCCTACCTTTGATTCTTGTTTTTGTATAGACTTAGGTTTGGGATTTGATTTAGAACCCTGTTCTTTAGGAAAAATAAAACAAAACAAAATCCTTCTATTGGTCTTCAGAAACCCTCAACCTAGTGCTCTCTAGGTTTTAGCCGAAGTCTTCAGACCCATACCAATCACTTTTCCCAGAAATCCAATACTGATTTCCTCACACCGACATTATGGGTATGTTTAGGTGGAGGGTAGACACCCCGACCAAACTAGAGTATTCCCGTCAAGAGTTCTCCACCACAGTCAACGTTCAAATCAGGTTGGCTAGAAAAGGGGACTCTATCATACCTAATGGAGACTCCATGCCCTTCCCCGTAGTTGCATTCATCGAGTGTGGACACTGATTCCCTCTAGACATCCTGTTTAGGGAAGCCCTTTATTATTACAAACTCAACCCCATGCAACTAGCCATCAACTGCTATAGGGTTATTAATGGCATAATTGAATTGGCATGCCAAGAAGAAGCTAGGATCACCTTTAGCCGACATCTACCTCTGTTATACCGTGTGTGGCCTTAAGTTGGACAAAGGCTACACGTACTACCTCAAGCCCAGATCCACCGCCTTCAAACTTATAGCCAACCTCACAGACTGAAACAAGGGTACAGGAGATGACTACTTGATTGTCTCGGGCAACTGGGAGTTTGTGCCTAAAGACAATCTTCATCTCTTTCCTCTGCGTCGAGT